CACGAAGGGATGGAATGGGCCCAATTTATTATTTAGCAAAACAACTTCATTCTAGATCAACAAAAGCCTCATTCTACCAACCTAGAAAACACACATTTATCTGCCAACGCACCAACAATTTAAAGATTACATTTGCTTTCAGACAGAATAATTGGCATTTATTGATTCCAGTTTATGTGGTCTCCTGAGTCTTAACAAAGATGTGACCTTTCTGAGGATTAGGACTCTCACATTTTAATGTTATTCTGGTCCCAGTTTTTTCTCCTCCATGCCAAGCTCGTTGACATCGCTACTCATTAGATATTGTTTCAAATAGACAAAGGCATATAACAAAGGTGTCTATTTTGCCTACCATTTCCAACTCAGCAGAGGAACGGAATATTGTGCCATTGAATTGGTTCTGACCCATCGCAACCCCATACACAGCGGAATGCAGCACTGCCCTGTCCTATGCCACCCTCACACTTCTTCCTATGCCGGAGCCCATTGAGCTAGTTATTGTGTCAAGACATTTTGTCGAAGGCATTCCACTTTTTAGCTGCCCTTCCCATTTATCATGATGTGAGGCTTTCTCCATGTTAAGTTGTGAGGGTTTTGGTCTTCCTTACTTGAGTTTTAATACATATTGAAGACTACAAGCCTGGATCTTCATCAGCAAGTGCTTCAAATCCTCCTCAATTTCAGCAAGCAATGCTGTGTCATCTGCATTCCTCGGGTTGTTAAGAAGCCTTCCCCCAGTCCTGATGCCACATTCTTCTTCATATAATCCAGCTTCTCTGATGATTTGAGCAGCATATAGATTGAACTAATGTGGAGAGAGAATACAAATTGGATGCACACCTTTCCTGATTTTAAACCATGCACTATGCCCTCGTTCTGTTTACACAACTGCCTCTTGATTCATGTACAAGTTCTGAATGAGCACTTTGAAGTGTTCTGGAATTCCTATCTTTCAAAAGTTTATCTACAGTTTATGATGGTCCATACAAGTGAATGCCTTTGCATAGTCACTGAAACACAAGCAAACATCATTCTCCTCTTTGAGCCACGATCCATCTGACATCAGGAATGATATCTTTTGTTTGATGTCCTCTTCTGAATCCAGCCTGAGCTTCTGGCAATGCACTGTCAATGTGTTGTTACAACTGCTGTGGGATGATCTTCAGTAAAATTTTACTTATGTGCGATATCAGTGATATTGTTCTATAATTTGAGCATTCCTTTGGGTCAACTTTCTTTGGAATGGGTACAAATCTCTTCCAATAAGTTGTCCAAGTAGCTGTCTTCCAATTTCCCTGGTATAGATGAATAAATGCTTTCAATGCTTCAACAACTTGTTGAAACATTTCAATTGGTATTCCTTCAATTCCGGTAACCTTGTTTTTGGCTAATACGTTCAGTACAGTGTGTACTTCTTCCTTCAGCACTATTGGTCCTGGATCATATACTACCTCCTGAAATGGTGGAATGTGGACATTTGGGTACAGGGATTCTGTGTGTTCTTTCCATGTTCCCTTAGTGCTTCCTGCATCATTCAAGATTTTGTCCATAGAATCTTTCAAGACTGCAACTGGCAGGTTGAATTTTTTTCTTGCGTCCTTTCCGTTTCAGAAATGCTGAGAGTATTATTCCCTTTTGGTTTTCTAAATCCTTCCACATTTTTTATAATATTTGGCTTGGTCTTCTTGAGCTGCCTTTAGAAATTTTCTATTCAGCTTCTTGGTTTCATTCTTTCTTCCAGTTGCTTTGGTTACTCTAAGATTAAGAGCAAAATTCAGAGTCTCTTCTGACATCCACTTTAATTTTTCTTTTTTTCCCTTTATTTTTAATGACTTTGCTTTCTTCATGAATGATGTTCTTAATCATGTTGGGTCTTGTCCGCCCACAGCCCATCAAGAAAATAAATAAGTGAATGTCCTATAAACCTGATGTCTCAGTGTTTTGGGGACTTTTTAGTAGGTTGAACTTACTAGAGATACTAATTTGTGTAAGGGATGTGCCAGATTTGAGACCTCAGAAATGAAAGTGCCTGGAAACGCAGGAGTGCCCAGGTCTTCAGACAAATAAAGTGATCTTCACAGGTAACAGAATTTAGCAGATAACCCTCAGGAGATATTTGGTTTTTATCCTATGTATCACCATGACAGATTTCAAGCTGGAAAGAGGACTACATTGTCCCATACAAGTAAATAAAATCAAATACTAGTGTGAATGATTTTACAAAATCCATAAGCCTGTGCCAGAAGGACAGGGGAGAGTTTCTGCCACGATTTCTATCCCCTCCCTATGACAGTCTGAAGAGTTCCCTTCCCCTGCTCTATCAGTGACTGGTATTTTGGTAATTCAACAAAAGTTACAGCACATGAAATAGCAAGAGGATCAGATATAGATTTGTATCTCAACTCTCTCAGGCCAATTTTTGTTTGGGACTCCCATCATAAGAGTGACATTTTATTTATTTCTTTGCTCCCTTTCTGTCCCCATCCCCATCCCCATCCCCATCC